CCCCCCGGCATATCTCTGCCTTTGTTTCCAATTCCTACTTCCACGTATGGCCCTTGCTGCTTCTGACTAGTCCCCTCCTTCCTGCCAGGACCTCTTGACCTGACCTGAAATGCAGCTCCCCTCCCCCCCACCACTTACTTTTACGGCGACACCCGATGGATGACATACCACACGCAGTGCAAATTTTTCTTGAAATGTAACCCAGCCGTTTTGGCAGTTGCTGTCTGCGCATCACGTGTCAAAGGAACGACGAGAGAGAGCGAGGGGAGAGGAGGCGACAGAGAAAATATTATGCTGCGAAAGCGTGCGCAAGAGCTCCACAGATCTGGCCAATGCCTGTTGCGGGGCCACGCGGTGATGAGCGTGCTCTGGTGAAGTGTAGTGGGCGTGTCTTGGGGGCGGACTTGGATGCCGGCCTTGAAGTGCGCCTCCTCTTGTTCCTCTCATCTATCATGCCGACAGGGCTGTATCTGGGCACCTACCAACCAGCACCTCCTTTGGGCCAATGCCCATTGCGGAGCCACACGGTGATGCCAGTGTCCCGGCTAGGCAGTGGGCGTGTCTTGAGGCCGACTTGGATGCCGGCTGTGAAGCCTGCCTCCTCTTGTTCCCCTCCTCTATCACGCTCACAGAGCTGTATCTGGGCACCTACCGACCAGCACTTTCCAGCCGGAAGTGAACCGCTGTTTCGTGTATGTCCTAAATCAACAAAATCAAAAGACAGCTATGCCACTTGCGCTGATAAGTGTTTGAGTTCGAGTTCCACTTGGGAGAACTGTAGCACCGTGTTCTTTGCCTACACAAGGTTCTAGGACATCGCGTTCAAGTTTGCGCTCTCCCTCTCAACACCAAGTTACATGCCGAACACACACGCACACACATGCACACACATGCACACACGCACACACACGCACGCACACACACATACACACGCACGCACACACCCATTCCTCCTGGGTGTTTGCCCCCGTTCCCGGTACCTACCTCTAACCAGACTTTCAATTCTTTCCAGCCAACAGTTCGTTCCTCTCCTTCTTCCGCCCCTCCCTCCCTTCCCTGGTACAACTTGTGAGGTCTAGGTGAAAATGCGAGGTCTAAATCATCACCTCCGATCCCCATCCTCTCCCTCCTCCGGCCTCTTATTCTCTATATGACATGGGAAGTCACCACAACTTGCCTCCCAACCCGGACAAATCGAGCCGAGTTCCACTAGTCTGTCAAAATCATGCCCATACAAACTTTGACAACCTGTACAAAACCCGCGTAGAAAAGGTAAGCCCAGTAGTAAGCGACCTTCAAGAGCATAGCCATTAAGTCTTTTCTTCTGGGCACTTGTCCTAGATCTGATCATGTAGCCCCTTAGCTGATATCGCCGAAATTCTGCAGAGAATCGAAGTGCATGCACAAAAATTG